TGTATTCATGTTTCATTTTACTACAGTATCAGATTCAAGGAGTGTAGGAAAAGTTTACAGGAAATGTCGAGCTTCTTGGTCGAAATGGATGGTCAGTAAGACAAGTCTTCACTGGAATACTAGTGATATTAATTTAAATGTAACGGGACGTAAATGTGCGTGGACTAGAACCTCGTGTACTCGGAATCGACAATGTCCCTGTGAAACATACTATTCAAAAGAATTGTTGGATGTCCAATTACCCCGAAAAAGAAGTCATGTGTGTGTTCAAACAAAGAGCTGTAGTGTTCTCATTTGTTCATCAATTGTTTATTTCCGAAGTAATATAGATTCAAATAAATTGGTTATAAAAACATACAAAGTTGAAAATAGAACTAATGAGAGTCAAAACTTAATAGGAATAGTTTATGTTCCACTTGATCACAGTACATGGAAATCTTATGAAGAAGACCACACTCAGGTGAAAGGAGTAAGTGAAGAAGTGAAAAGCGACTCGTATGTTTATCTTGATGTTTTACAAACACCTATAAGTCCTGTACGAGGTAAAATTTATTCACCTCTAAGTGATAATAATAATTATGACTATAGAACTGGACACTTGCTTATTTTCATAGGATCCTTATTATTTTCGCTTCTGTGTTTATTATTTTTTATCTCTTATTTTGTTAAAACGTGTTACACAATAAGCTGTACTAACATTTCAAGTATGAGGTATCATTTCACAAAAACAAACATTCCTATTGATGACACTCAAGCGGAATCTGAGTGATATATTTCTTGACGTTTTCTCGTCATTTTATCCTCATGAATTTTTATTAATAAGACTTTTATCCATTTTTATTATGCTGTCTTTTAGTTTTTTTTCACGGGAAACTGATGTATAACTAACATTTACATAGATTAATGTCGTAACGGAAATAAGTTGGCTCAGTAGTGCAACTACTAAATGAGTATTCAATGAGCTTTGAATATTGTTTCATATCGAATAAGTGTATTATTCATGTTAACTAACTCAGACTAACGTCACTACTTTATGTGGACGTGCATATACGAGTATTGGTCATTAACTTTCGATGAAAACTTCTGTTAATTGATGTTATTTTGCCAAGCTACTTACTAAGATTACTTGTGTATGGTACCTACAAAATGATGTACATTCGGACGAACACAAAAATACAAATTTGGATTAGAAAAACCCCATTCGTATACGAAATAGCAAGTCATACCCTCAAATCTAGGTGAGAAATATCATGACATTGGATCAGATTATTCTGTACACTAAAATTGTCTTACAATTTAAATATACCTGGGATTCGTATTTTTTGTAGCAATTATAAGACTTTTAGGGATACTATATCGTGTAACACTTGCTTCTCGTTTTCTCAGTCAACTTCAACTCTAAACATGCGAAGTTAATTAAAATGCTAACTTTCCAAAAACTATACCATGTTTGAGTGCACATCTTAATATCCTGAAGTGCCGAGAATTGATATGATTGCTAACGATTGAGATATTCATCTAACACGGAACAACATCTATGCTAACTAGATGAATAAGATAACTAATACATAACAGAATGGGTTTTGTGGAGAGTTTAATAAATTTCACAGATTGAAATCATGAGTCAGTTGAAGCTAGACCACCATTGAAAACCTGGAAGCACTGGAAACACTTTAACGATGACTCATCGCGCGATGAATTAGACGAGTTTTGTACGGTAGGCGTATTGCTGAAGACCCCCGAAAGAATAAAAGTATATTAGAGTTAGTCAGTTATATATGGTTCGCCATGATCATTATTTACGAACTTATTGATTGTCTTTGAATACAAATCATGGTCAAAATGCGTTGAAAGTCTATGAAGTAATGCAGCCAAAATGTTATCAAAGTTGATCTTAAGTAGCTATTGATTTCCTTTCTCATTCGTTGAGTTTGGGGATTCTACATCCCCAGTATAAAGCAACTATTTAGAGTGTTCATCACTATGCATACAGGTTGATTAGTTTGTTAATCCTTCAGTGATTTCCCGATAGGCAAATGATACTTCTAGTTATAAAGCGTAACCAGCACTAATTTGATATCCCCGTCTTCTGTAACGCTCAGACATAGTGCTCGTAGCAGGTGACTTTAATGCCGAGATAGGTAGTTTAAACCAAACAGAAAGGCATTTAGGTGGGTACTTTAGTATTCCGGCACAACAAACAGATAATGGTGATCGTCTGCTGCAACTGTGCTCAGACAATCATTTATTTTTAGCAAACACAAATTTTAAGCATAAGGAAAGATATCGTCTAACATGGCGACCCCCTACACCAAACCAACGATGGACTCAAATAGACCATATTGCCATCAGTCATCGTTGGAGAGGGTCGGTAGAAGACTGTCGCTCATTGTGGAGTACATGTTTGGACTCCGACCACGCCCTAATACGGGCACGCATCTGCTTGCGCCTCACTGGACGCAAAAAAACCACATTAAAAAGACCCATTAGAACTGAATTAAGTAGCGAGAAAACCAAAAGTAGGTTCCAGGAACAACTGAGTTCACAATTAAGTAGTTCTGAAGACGAGATTGACCCAGATGTTGCTTGGAAAGCTATACAAACAGCTGTGGAAACAGCAGTGACATCTATCAGTGATTTAAACAACAGGGTTACAAAGAACCAATGGACTTCCTCAAGGTCTATTGCACTGGTGGGTTCTCGTAAACTCATCTCATCAGGCTCTGAACACGATGAAGAGCGACAACAAATCAGATCTAGGTTAAGCAAAAGTCTAAGGAACGACCATGGGCAGCGAAAGCAAAAGAGATGGAAAAAGCGGCGACTATAGGGAACACAAGACAGCTCTACAGACTAATAAAAGAAACTGGAATTAATAAATCAGGTGTAAGTCAGACTATTTCGGAAAAAGACGACACTCTCATCTGCTCCCAGTTCACGCGTTTAGAACGATGGGCGGAACATTTCAGAGAACAGTTCAGCTGGCCTTCAGTGACTCTACAAATACCCTCCATTCCCAGACAGTGTGAATGGAACATTGAAGTAGGTCCCCCAACTCTAGCAGAAGTTTAAAAGGCTAAAATTAATCTGAAACGAGGAAGGGCAGCTGGTCCAGATGGATCGTCTTTAGAGGTCTTTAAGTGTGGTGGCCCAATTTTAGCGATTAGGTTGATTAATATTTTAGCTAAGATCTGGGAATTAGACGTTATTCCATTTGGCTGGTCACAATCACTTATCGTTCCAATATATAAGAGAGTGTTAAAATCATCCTGTGACAACCACAGAGGGATTAGTTTAACTAATATAGTATCTAAAATACTAGCGTCGATAATTATCAAACGCCTAACTAAGACTCGTGAACTGCAAACACGAGAGAATCAAGCTGGCTTCAGACCTGGTCGTGGCTGCATCGACCACATATTCACCATTCGTCAGTTTCTCGAACATAGGCATACTTATCAGCGTCCGACAACGGTGGTCTTTCTTGACTTAGAAGCAGCATTTGACTCGGTAGACCGCGAAATTCTGTGGCAGTGTCTGTTATTGAAAGGCGTACCTCAGAAGTACATAAACCTTGTGAAGGCTCTTTACTCGAACACCACCAATCGAGTGAAAGCTTATGGCGAACTGTCATCTGCTTTTGCAACCTCAAGTGGTGTCCGTCAAGGCTGTCCACTTTTCCCATTTTTGTTTAACTTCATCATAGACCTACTGATGGAAATAACATCCTCGTCGACTGAATTCTCGAGTATTGATTTCCTTCCAGGAGGTCCACTTATCGACTTAGAATACGCAGATGATATAGTCCTGTTTGGCGAAGACGCTGATAAAATACAGAGTCTTTTGGTAGCACTAAGCTACAATGCCACAATGTTTGGAATGCGCTTCTCTTCCTCTGAATGCAAGTTGTTGCTTCAGGACTGGTCTGCGTCAACACCTGAACTAAGGATAGGGAGTGAAGTAGTCGAACGCGTTGACAACTTCACTTATCTTGGAAGCCTGATCAGCCCTAATGGGTTGGTGTCTGACGAAATCTCAGCACGGATTCGGAAATCTCGTTTGGCTTTTGCCAACTTACGTCACCTTTGGCGAAGGCGAGACATCCGTCTACCAATAAAAAAACGAGTATACTGCGCAGCAGTTCGTTCTGTTTTAATTTACGGCAGCGAACCATGGCCATTAAGAGTAGAAGACACTCGTAAGCTCCTAGTATTTGACCACAGATGCCTTAGAAATATTGCTGGCGTCTGCTGGGATCACCTTGTAAGAAATAGTGAGGTTAGACGCAGGGTATTAGGGAATGATGGTAAATCAGTTGATGAGGTTGTGAATCTTCATCGACTGAGATGTTTGGGCCACGTGTTACGTATGCCTGAACACCGATTACCACGACGTGCAATGCTGATTAGTGTTAGGGATGGTTGGAAGGAAGTTAGGAGTGGTCAAACCAAGACATGACATCAGTGCTTGAAGTCACTAACTTCTAGTCTGAGCCATGTTGGGAGATGCAGACTACTTGGTTGGGGTCCGCGTGACTATCGTAACCAATAGTTGGAGACTCTTGGTGACATGGCTCAAAATCAATCACAGTGGCGTCGGTGTATACACACTCTGTTTTCCTTTAGACTAAGAGATTAAAATCGCTTCATATCTTTCTTTCTACGAACTAATTCTTCCTTCCTGTACTATACTGATTGCAATCTTTCTTTTATATATTACCACTTCTGAATTTACTACTTTTATGAATCCGGTGTCCATCTTGTTATGTTAATGAGGTATGGCAACTTGAACCGATGCATATATGTGCCTGGTCCTACGTTGTAGCTGACTGACTCTTCTGTAACCTGTACTATTGACATAATCTTGTTACTACTTATTGTTCAGCGAAATAGAAAGTTCATTTTATTAGCTGTACAAACTGATACTTAAATGAAGAATAATAGGAATAAATGTATAACTAAATAATTTACAATAAATTTATTTGATAGAAAAACATCCCTTCAATAAATCCACTCGTTATTTAGATTATAATGAAATGACATTTTTTTGGGTAGACAAGGATTATATTTTGTTGGTCCTGGATTAAGTAAAGCGTCAATTCCACCAGGACATGTAAGTGAAGAACTATTTGCAACCATATCACCAATGCCAAGAGCAACGGGAACATTTGGCATTATCCAGCGCGGTACATTGGATAGGAAAACTGAACTAGTCATAAAATGTTTTGGTACTAGTTCAGTTGTGATATTATATGTCCCTGGACCAGGATAATTTTCCTGATCTTTATTTATAGTTTTCAAAGTTATCATTGATGAATTTGATCTAATTACGAAAAAAAAACCAATGCACGATGGTGATTTTAATTAGAATAAATCTAATTGGAAAATTTAGGTATTTTACGAAAATGATATGTTAAGTTGAAGGTGGATTTTAGCGACCGTTAGAACCTTACAGTATACATTTTTAGTTCCAAATTAGATGTTTAAACCCTCAATCTGTAATCGTGATGAAACACTAGGCGTTGGTCTCCTCCCCGTAGAGACATGTTTACATGAATAGATTTCAAGATCTATCACCAAGTTTGTTTATATTAGTCGGATGTTGTACATAACTTGAAGTATGTTTGAAAAAAATTGTCCATATATAATCATACATAGTCATCTAGTCAAATCTAAATATGCATAGATGAAGTTAAGCTGTTTTGTGAATGTAACTTTTCTATAAGGCAAATATATCTGTATAAAAGTATCAGCTAAGATCAGTTTAATAGATTGCACAGCTATACTGATGCATCACCTAATATTAAACACCAAAAAGACTAACTGTGTAATTACTGATCCAAGTAAATTTAGAATAACTAAATCCGTTTGAAGTGCACTTACCCCAGAATCTAATTAAAAATTTCTGACTCAATTTATCGAAAAAAGATGTGTAACACTGTTGTATAACACAAAATAATTGTTTCTATCTGGATTTCTCAGAAAAGATGAAAAATGCTTCTTCCTGATAAGTATAATCAGATATGAGGTTCTTGTACATCAACAGCTCCCCGTAAAATGCATTCAACTAAAACAATTTCATATAGAAATGGTAGGTTTTCCAACTAATGTTTGTGATAAAAACTTTTTTCAGTCACTCATCATTGAGTTATGAGTACGAAACTGGTTATCGTTCCAATAAAGGATTAGTGATTCGCAAGCAGTAGCTTTTTAAATTGATACTGTTAGAAATTATACATTTTGATCAGGTTTCAACGGGAAAATAGATGTTTCTGATAAATGAGATCGGGATCTACGTGACTAGATAGACAGAACTATTGAGTTGGGTAAACTTTAACAAAAACTCGACTGGTCATATCTTCAACTAAATGAAACTGTACTTGACTTTAGCATATAGCTTACTTTGTTGGATGTAATTTAGTTAATTTTAAAGTTGAGGCATTATGATATTTGACCAAATTATATGCTCCTGGCCCAGGAAACTAAATTTATGAAAATAGAAAGAAAGATACATGAAGCATATAATCAGCAATTTAAATTAAATAATTTGCTTACTTCTGATGTAGTTCTTAACGCGGTACGCTCACTTTTAGATGCAAAAGCAGAGTGGGGCAAATTAGATTGATTCGGTTTCTCATCAATATCATAATGTCCTAGACAATAGTAACAAAGACGAATACTAGATCCTTTAGTCATCTAGATTGAGTGGTAAATTGAACGTACATCACAAAAAATAAGACAGAGTATACTAAACTTACGAAATTGATTCTTGGATGTTCAGTAAGAATGATTTTTTAGTAGCAACGTCACAGAATACTAACTACTATGTACAAAATATACCAGTTGTCATACCGTGTAAATAGTTTGTTGGAAATACTAATTTTTCGCCCCCCCCCCTTGAAAAAATATGCACTGTTTGTCAACTTTTACTCCTCGTTCTAACTAAAGTTGTAACGGCAAATCAGAAATAATTGATACCAATACGAAATACGGTAATAACACTGTAATGTTTTGAGGCAAACTAATCCGTCAAGGTTGTGATTCGGAACTAAGTATTGATCATTGTGCTTGCTGACTGAAATACTCCTACCAGCTACTTATTGTATCGAAACGAGATTGAAAAACTAGAAGCAGACTGATTTGCTTCCAAACCACGAATTAAACGACATTCAGAAGTAATATAGTAATTTACATACCATTTTAAGTGTTTAGGTCAATCAATAAATATGGACAAATTGGACTCGTAGTTAATCAGTAATCTAATTTGCGAATATAAACTTGCAAAATCAATGAACTAACTGACTTGACTAGGAAATACCATTCATCAATAAATTATTTGTCTTGTTTTTAATAAACAGACCGGATAGTGCGACTGAGCTCTCGAACGATACACTAGGTAGTAGACTGGGTACACTGGATCATGTTACCAGGTAGCCTAGGTCATGGAATGAGCAGATTTACGATTCCGACCAGTGATTGAAGACCAGGCTAAAGTGATAGAACAATTGATTGTTCAATCTAATTGCAAGCAGTCTGTATGTATTGAAAACCAAATTTGAATTCAGAGTTACGATATAAAGAGAGTGATTTATGTTACAGGTCGTAAAGTGAGTCAGTCTCTGTTCGTTTAGTAGCCAATTACGGCTCACAAGAGAAATAATCTCCAAACCGTAACATACCTCCGAACAAAATTCTTATCGTAAAATGTTGACAATTATTTGAGTGTCGTCAGATCTGTTAATTATTTTCTAGCTTCAGTCCATAATTACTGGCCATGTTTGTGTTATACTATAATATTCACTAATAATATGTCGTTTGAGTCGAACCAACTGCTTCTGTGTTTAATCTTTTCGTAGGAATATGTATTTGTTTGACAAGCATAGATGGATGGTGGCTAGCAGTGGAGTCTAGGACGCGCGCTTCGTCCTATTTGGGACTCGTCAACAGAATGTGCATGTTTTCAGACCCGGCATCTGACTCCAGTTAGATCGGACAAATGGTCGTTATTGAATGATTGCTATCGAAATATATATCGTGGATATTCTCGTACATAATTATCGACTTAAATCGCTGATGTGAACAGAGAAAAAAGAGGCCTTGACAAACTACGGAAGCTATTTTTCGGGACTTTATTTCAGTTAACTCAAAGCTTGTAAAATATTAACATTTATTTTTATCCATAGTCTATTCTACAGAACGTAAGCTTTTGCTTGATGTATGATTCACTGCCATAGCCCTTTTTGTTCCAAAACTATTGTAATTTAAACATTATTTGTACTCTTTTTTTTACATTAACCCCCCGTTTTGGACATAATTGTATTTTCCTAATTGTTGTACGTTGTGGTCAGGTTAGTCATCTATTTATTCATGTATCCTTTTACACTGGTCTGAAATCGGGAAAGAGAACTAGATCAGAATTGAAAATAAATACAGTATTATCAGAATGGGTTTTGTGGAGATTTTAGAAATTTCACAGATTGCTGAGGAGTCCCATACTAGGATGAAACGGCCGTCCAGTGCTTCCAGGTTTTCACTGGTGGTCTAGCTTCAACTGACTCATGATTTCAATCTGTGAAATACAGTATTGTTCCAGTTGTCTAGTCTTCTCTCACTTGCGTGCTTGTCAGCCAATCAGGTGACAGAATAGTTTTTTTCTCTCTACCCCACTTCGAGCTCAAGCGTACTAGCCTCAAGGTTAAGCCGGTCAGCCATCGCGTTAAGGTCTTAATCTCTAAATTAGACAAGTTAACCTCAGCACCAAAAATGGGTAGACAGATCAAAGACGTAACAATCACATTAGTGAACAAAGGAATACGAGAATGAAGTTTTGAATACGTATATTTTGTGCACATTCATCTGGACAGACAATCAGAGGAACGAAACGAAACGACGCGCAGTGGAGATGGCGTGTGAGTCAACCCCCATTTAGCCAAGGGTTAATGGATATGTGTGGTCACGCAAAAACAAGCTACAGATGTGTTGACTAGGATAATATATACACACATACGCCCAAATAAAAACAGTCAGGGTTGGTAAGTGAATAATTAACAAGGTCAAAACGTGACTCAAGAAGAATAGATAAATTGGCCGGCCCAGTTATAAGGGCTTAACATATTAACCGACACTATACATGCGGTGAGACTAATTTAGGGACGAGCCAATCAGAAGACAGTGCAAAGTAGAAATATATTATAAAAAAGCAAAGGAGTACAGTGGATATTCTTCTTTTACATGATTTAAAAACTTGTTAAGGTTTGATAAAGGTTCAGGAGTTCTGAATGCATAATGCATACGGTATAGAAACTCGTCCATAGGGTTGAGGTTGTAGCCTCTCAATAAACACCTCTTCTCTGAAATCCGTTGTAAGCCGATCGCTTGTTAGCATCACGTGTTGAACTTGGCACCGTGAACTTGAAATTGCTCAGACGCTTCTGATTGGCTCGTCCCTAAATTAGAATCGCGCCACCCTAACCCTATGGACGAGTTTCTATACCATATGCATTCAGAACTTCTGAACCTTTATCAAACCTTAACAAGTTTTTAAATAATGTAAAAGAAGAATGTCCACTGTAATTCATTACTTTCTTATATTTTCACTTTATACTGTCTTCTGATTGGCTAATAATCGTCAAGATCATTCAAGATTCGTTCAAAGGTCGTCCCTAAATTAGAGTCTCGCCCACTTAGCTACTGAGTCCTGATAGCGACTACTTTGTGCGATGGGATGAAGTTTTAGTTCATGTTGTATTGTTTACTTAAATCTTCCCATAATCAGGACTGCAATAAACAGTACAAAATGAACTGAAACTTCACCGCAACGCACAAGCTAGTGGCTATCAGGACTCAGTAGCTAAGTGGATAACGCGATTGCTTTTGAAGCGAACACTAGTGGATTCGAGTACCAAATTGGACATCAACTCTGGGATGCAGGGACATTCAGCTGACGAGTCCCAAATAAGAAGAAACACGCTGGAGCCCGATAGGACACTTGCTGTGGAAACCCTTAAACTGCAACGCGTAGTAAGCCTTAAATTGGAATCTCCAGTTGAAAAAGGAAAAGAGGCAGACCAAAAAAATCATTACTCTGGGAATTGAAGTCAGGAATTAAAAGAACGAACAGCACTTGACAACAATAGGAAAGTCGACCCTAAACCAGTATTTAGGGGAATCCTGGTCGGCAGTCTATGCTCCACGAGAGGTCACACGCGTAAGTAGGCAAGGGTTACAGAGATTGTTATTATTGGCGTGACAATATATTAGATTAACTGAAGTTAAGAATGTAAATTGTTAGATGTTAACGTAGTGGTCTGTAAGCGCTTGACAGGAGGACAGAAGTTCCTAGGATCTATCTTTGGCGGGTCTGTGGATAATCACTATAGAAGAGTACCATATTATCGCGGAACAGCAGTCCAATGATTCATTCTTTTAAACAGTTGTCTGGCCAAGATCAGTATTCGATATAGAAGTACGATATTATCCGCATAGTTCTTTGATAAATTAGGAGATATCCCATGGAGTCAGTGTATTCTGAGATGCATTTTAATTTACCTGGTCCTGGAATATAAGTTGTCAGTTGTCGAGTATCAAACAGTCTCCCACTAGATGATTTGAATGCCGCCATACTAACTCCCGATCTGGAGTTTTTTTCTATTTTCTGTTAAAATAAATAAATAAATATACACATATTTCGAATATATCACAATTTACATAATTAAAAATACAGTTTATTGAGAAAAATACTTTTTTTGCGATGTCGTCATTACCGTATCGTATATTTGAATAATCATAGTTAACTTTCCATGAAAACGGACGTTATCTTTCGTTCTGATAAGTGTTTCATAAAGAAGTGATAAAGGAAATATTTTCACCTTTATTTCGAAATTCAAATAACATTCAGGTGAATAATAATTTTCGAAATGATAGGAGCACAGAAAGTGTTCGAAGTTTAGACTTCGTATGTATGAGTGTCCAATCTCTTTGTTGAATGAATAAAAATAAATGTTTCAAAATTATCTACACTGTCAAACGACTACGTCACTAACTTAGGCACTATCGAGACGTTGGTAATTCATCTTTTCAAACTTTGTGTACAAACGTGATATATCCAAACTCTCTGAAATTCTCGAACTCTTCATTATATAATCAATCCTCCTATTTTGGGATAGATTATTTATTAATTACCCATCAATGCAATTATCGATCTCGAGTCAGTGATCTCGTCGAAAAGAATTTCTTTTCCTTGAATTGTCATAAATACGTAGCAAACAAACTCACTTTAGTGTGTTATAAATCAATAACTATGGAGATGAAATCAGAATAGCCTTTCTTGGCAATATACATAATAATAGGAGTATAAAGGTGCATGACATTGTACATAAATGAGGGATTCTGCAGATTTATTCATTTTTTATTTATCCTCAATACAGGAGGAATACTGTTAAAAAACCCAGTTATAAATTCAAACACTAATATATAAAAACGATAGTTGGTAAATAATAGAAAGTAAGATTTTAAATGAATAGGGAAAGCATAACATATTGGAGGAGAAACATATCGAATAAGACAGTTATTACTCCATTCACAGCAAATTTACAGCATTAAAGGTTCCAGATTGTTGATAACTTGATTACTGGAATCCTTATTTAACAGCTATCTATACCTCTTAATAACTTAAAAGTTCCACATGACCAGCATGCCACAAATTAACACCACTAACAACAAAGCTTAAAAATATTTTATCTAGAATGACCGAACTTTTCTTGAATTCCTCCTGCATAATAGCCTAAGAAGAATACGAAATTGTCTATAAAAAAGAACAATTCTTTTTTATTTCGGTCTGCAGAAGTGTATCAGCTGTAATTCTTTAAAACCAAACTTCCACTTAATATGCGTTTGTCAATGTATACAGTTCTAAAATTTCATCGACTGAAGAAGCTGAACTGCATGGTACTCTTTCCATCCATGCCGACATGCAGTTCTGACTAAAGTGGTATTAGGGTGTAAAAACGCTTGGATTGAGTAGACTGGACACAACGCTATTCCATAACCAGATATGTCAATTAACAGTTTAATCCCTGCTCCATTTTCTTCACTCTTAAGCACTTTGTGGTAAAACTATTACACATAGAAGTGTGATTTAACTATTAAAAATCTCCACTCGAAACGCTTAGATATAATTAAAATTTCGTAAAGATAGTGAATTGATCTGGGGTTGTGCATAGAGATACAGGTTTCTTGGTTTAGTTATTGCAATAAAAGTAATGTTGCACAAAACTTCCAGAGATGTTTGATATTCGTTACAAAAGAAAACATGCTAACGGATTTATATTGTAAACATAATGAACTAACAGTTTTAGTGCTCAATATATTTTTCGCAGTTTTTCGAATTTATCAACTACCATCCTATAATAATATACAGTCTCGTCCAAAATTTCCCTGCGTTTCAGTCGGATCATCCCATTTTGAATGAACTTCTGTTACCGAGTTTCATACTGTCTTTTTCAATTCTTCTCATATACTTTTTATTCACTGGGTTATTTATAGCCATGTTATCTATATAGGTCGGTATTTCGCTAAGCATTTACTGGAAATACATTTTGTTCAAGGCTCGGTTAACAACAGTTAGTGGAAATCGTACTGTTTGGTACCTTGTGTGAATCAAATTTCATTGTTCATGAAATATCACGGGATAAACCATGTGTTTATTACTAAATACAGAACATTTAAACTTGAAGATATGGATCAGAAGTGTTCGAATAAAGCACACCATGTGAAGAGTTACCGAAACTACTCACTTGATAATCACAGGGTGCTGGGATATGTTGGTTTCGTTGATATTGGTCACATTTAACAGCGATGTTACTCTGAAACGCTCTTGAACAAGGGGCACGATTGAAATCTTGTCTATTTTTAATCTTCAAAATTGATAAATTGTATGCATTTGGTGCTGGCGATTTGAAGCTAAGGTTAAGTCTTCTCTAACAAAGGAAATGAATGTTTCTTTTCACATACTGTTCAGCTGTTACTAAATATTCATTTCACTCGATAATTTTGGTTATGGTGTAATATAAAAATAATAGAAACTGAACAAAAACCTCAGGTCTGCATTTCTCTTGGATAATGATTGATCTATAAATGCCGTTATTCTATACCTTTAAAAATATTTGAAGTGAATTTCAACAGTCTCTTCTGTTCAATAATAATAATTGTACCAACTTGTTTCATCAATAGAGAGTATTCACTAGTCTACTTTGTTATAAGTAGACTTTCTGGCAAATTCACACATACAACGTTATTGTCAAGTCAGTATTCTGTGAGCTACTAAAACTGTTTAAATAGTCAAGTTGAAATTAGTGTGATCGTTAATCTTAATTCTTATAAGCCTATCTGAGAGTTTAAAGCCAAATTTTGTCATAAAGAACTTGATAATCGCTATGTGTTTAGTTGTGCGTTGAGAAATGTACTTGTTTCGACCAAAATGTTTGTAAAATATTAAAAGGCGAACCTTGATGAAGATAATTTATTTATGCAACTAAATTTTCAGAAAGAAATACAGGGTATTTTTGTCTAGAAAAGACCATCATAACCTAAAGTATGGGTGGCAAATGATATATATATATATATATATATATATATATATATATATATATATATATATATATATATATATATATATATATATATATATATATATATATATATAAGGCAGGATTATTCCAGCCAAATGAATAGGCTAAGCATTTTGCGTGCAGTGGAAGGCCTGGAACCGTTCCTTACTACAGAACCCAGAGAACGTATAAACTAATTCGTTTATACTAGTTTGTTACAAAGAATTTTCAATTGATGACACTATTATAATTCGTTTGAGATTTTACACAAATGACCTAAGATGCGAAATAGCAGAAGTTTATACTTTCCCATTCAACATATAGTGAACCATGATGTATGTGAAATATCGAAAAACAATTAAACAGTCCTTCGTTAAGCAGACAAGAGAGTTTCATAGATTTACAGTTTCTTCTGTATCTTTTTTTATGAAATGTGCATGCAATTAGTAATTTTCTGAAAATCATGGAAAGAAAGTACATGTCTGATTTGCTGGCCCTGAAAAGATTTGTTCATCACTGTTTGGATGACATGTGTACATATTTCAGGTTTATCACGTGATATCAGTCAATATACTTCAGTACTGAGGTATATTGACTGATATATTTCGTTGGATTACTTATATGAATCGTTTGTTTGGTTATTCAGCTTTATAAACCCGTTTCTTGACTGTTAAAGGTTGTGTGTTCCATAAACGTACTTAGCGAAATTCAGTTAAATGTGTTGTAAACTGACATTATATACCATAAGAAACAGATAATTACCCCTGGGACTGGGCCGAACGAACCGTACTTTGAACCGGACTTGTGTATCATAACTGTGCAACTTTCTGTTGTGATATACAACCTAAACGACTGATAATGGTTGAACTCAGTTATTTATAAATCTGCAAGGTCGTTGCCATGCCAGATGTCTAAATGGTTCAAATAGTTGTGGACGGGCTTCCGTGTCTAGTAACATTGGATCACCAATACTTCCAGACAGGAAACTAGATATTTTAACGATAATAGAGGAAAAAGAAATTGGTAGATCATAGTGAGAAATCATCTTTAGTCCTTAAGCTGGAATTCGCTGTCGGCAGAGCTAGTCCAAGAGATTTCTTAGGAGTCCTTCAAGTGGCAACTTGACCTATTCTTAAGGACCAAGGACAGCATCACACTATGATTTACCAATTTTTTCCCTCTTTTATTGTAAACATACCTAGGTTCCTGCCTGGAGGATTTGGTGATCCTCTGCTACTAAACACGGAAGCATGTTAAGCGAAAGCGTCTTCTATTCCGTCCACAACCATTTGAACCATTTAAGAATAGGTCAAGTTTCCTCTCGAAAGACTCCTGGGAAGTCTCTTGGACTAACTCAGCCTTCAGCGAAGTCCAGCATTTGACAAATCTTGAGCAGTAGAAGTTGTGTCTACAGTCCGTTCTGCTGTGTTTTGTCTCCAGTTTCTGGGCATTACCCCTTAGATTTGTGTTGATGCCAAACTGAATTAGGTGCTTAAGGGGATGTTCAGAAGTGCTAAGGATACTGTAAGCCATCGGAAGGTCACCTCCAAGACGCTTAGACTCTAATAGGTAAGGGTTTAGTGAATGGAGACACTCTTCATAAGGCTAGAATGAGTCCTCGAAGTGTTTTCGTGGCTTGCCGTTGGATACGTTCAAAAGTGTCCTTGTCCTTGTTGTGTGAGGTAGGTAATACTATGTTCCCGTATTCTAAATGGGGACGAGTGTAACTGCTAAAGATTATGTGGAAAGTTCCTCCATCAACCTGGCCAAAAATGCGCTTTAATGTTACCAGTGCAAGGTTTGGTCGAAAGGCATTTTTGTCACAGTTAGCGTAAGACTACAAATCCCAGAGTACCAGCACTTCCAAATGTGCTCTAACTTGGGATACTTCTAGAAGAGAATAGCTGTAGTCTGTAGTCTGCAACATATCTCAGATGGACTACTTTACACTTTGAAGTGTTAAAGGTAAGTATATCCAAATTCGAGGTCCAGTCAGATCCTTCTGAAATGCCGGCATATACTCTTGTCTGATTATCTCTCTCCAAAGTTTCGCATCATCAGCTAAAAATAATATGTCAGACGATACCTGTTGTGGAAGATTGTTTATATAAAACAAGAAGAGAAGAGGTCCTGGTACTGAGCTCTGAGGAACCTCATCAGGACATCCCATAGCCTTAGAGAAAGTGGAGTTTAACCTGACCTTAAAATTTCCATTACTAGATATCAAGCGAGCTTGTCAATTAGCAGTGATTTGATAATCATCGTTTGAGCGTGGTTATAAGACATATATCGTTGACCCCTTCAAAAGCCTTTGAGAAGTAAAGGTAAATGACGTCAACCTTCCTCTTGCGATCAAGTATGCTTGTCCATCTGTCCACCACAGTCAGCAGGTTGGTTATAAAAGAATGAACCTTCCTGAAAGCATGCTGTTGGGGTGAAAAGAAATTTGTGAATAATAAATAATCATGTGAATGAGTTTTGTGGAGATTTTAGAAATTTCACAGATTGAAATCATGAGCCAGTTGAAGCTAGACCACCATTGAAAACCTGGAAGCACTGGACGGCCGTTTCGTCCTAGTATGGGACTCCTCAGCAGTGCGTATCCACGACCCCGCACCACCCGGGGCTCGAACCCAGGACCTACTGGCTTCGCGCGCGAGCACTTAACCGTTAGACCACTGAGCCGGCATCCAACGGTGTTAAGGTCTAACTTCAACCAATCCACGAAGTTGCGCGCGAAGCCAGTAGGTCCTGGGTTCGAGCCCCGGGTGGTGCGGGGTCGTGGATGCGCACTGCTGAGGAGTCTCATACTAGGACGAAACGGCCGTCCAGTGCTTCCAGGTTTTCAATGGTGGTCTAGCTTCAACTGGCTCATGATTTCAATCTGTGAAATAATCATGTATTCGGTCGCAAATTACAGACTTCATAATTCTCGAAGGTATAGAGAGGAAAGCCACCGGTTGGTAGCTTGAAGGTTTGCTGCGTCGACTTCCTTTGAAGATTGGTGTGATGTGAGCCAGCTTCCGAATTCCCAGTAGTTTGCCTTGGCTAAGCAAGTTTGAGAAAAGATATCAGAATGAACCATACGCGGACTGGGAGAAGTGTCTTTTCTTAGGTGCTGCAGTTTCCGGTACGCCAAGTGAGTGCTCACGTTCCCTTTGGAAAGTCCTGTGCAGTTGTAGATGAAACTTTCATCAATATAGCTAATGTGAGTCAGTTGAAATATCCGAGAGTATTGTTCAGCCAGAAAGTTAGCGGCGTCATCGTCATTATTGATCAGTCCATTAGGACCCAACATTTGGAAAATTCCAGTTTTGGCTTGTTGAAGAGAGGCTGCACAACGAAATAAGCTTTTTGGATTGAAGACAAATTTTTCGATAAGCTATATCTGGTACTGAAGCCTGTTTTTTCTTATCGCCTCCATGGATATGTTTCTTACTTATTTGTGTTGTTTGTATGCGCGGTTGTTACCAGTTCGTTTGTATTCCACAGTGCCTTTCTTTGCATAACAAACGAAGAGTGCAGTTCTTGATGACTGTAGGTTGCTTGTGGATTTCGGGGACCGTTTGAAGAACAGACTGCCTTGTAGCACACAAGACGGTGTGCAGTAAGAAATCTCCATGAGTATCCACATTAAGTTAAAGATGAATTTTCCAACCCACCAATTATGGATTGTCCTGTAAAGTTGACACATTCAATCGTTTGAAATTCCAGCGCTTGTTATTGGTGGGATGTCCTAGCTCAATTTCGCTAATAAAGCTGAAGGCCATGACGGCATGATCGCTCCTCTGCAGGGGAGCCAGGACCGAGAGGTTTTCAGCCAAGAATTCTTCGTTTGTAAATACCCAGACTTAGCGCGACGGCGTCTGTTTGTTTCTCCAACGCGTTGCCGACTTCTCATCTTTGGATAATCCCAGCTCGATGAGGTTGAATAACCAGGCTTTAGTAGAGTTTTCACCATCAATATACGTATGTTCCTAGAAAATGACTTTGGGAAGATTGAAGTCCCTTAGAATCAGGATATGAGTGATTGCGAAACTAATAGAGCAGGATAATCCTTCCAGCATACGACTGTCGTACTGGATGTTAGCTTTTATAGACGACTCGAACAAGACACTTCAAGGTGGTAGACAGTCTTACTGATTAACAGACGGATTCATCAAGACTGATAAACTCTTGGTTGTGCACTTGATATATCTCGAGGCAGGATCGTAAGTATAAGGCTACTTAATCGTTGTTTTTCTTTCATTGCGAAAAAATAACATCCTGTATATTACTAGCTCTTCGTCCGTAAACTGAAAAGATACTCCTATCAGATTAACATCATTACCATTGGTAAGTTCACGTAGTTCATCCATTTTATTCGGTAGACCCACGGCGTTCATGTATAAAACGTTTTAGCTTTCAATTTAAAACGCGTCAGCTTCTCGTTCCTGTTTATATATATGAGCTTTATGTGAATGAACAGGCGGCCTACCTATACAAGATTTTTGAGATGATGATCCTTGTCCTTTACACGTTTTTTTATTATCAAGGCGGTCCACAATTAAAATGCTCAGCTCCAACTTGCCTATGTGCTTGATTTTGGCGACATGTGACCTATCTTGATGCATGCGGATTCCAGTTGGCAACCAACGTCTGTTGGCAGAGTTGCAGCTGCTTTATGGGAGGATAGGAAAGTTATTTTCATTAGTTGGGGTCTAGAATCTACGTCCTTCTCGAATAGTTTCACCGCTTGTTGAGTCAGTGTTTTTGTAAGCTTCAAGGATTACTTGGTGAATTTTCATTCCCAGATATCAGAGTCTGTTCGACTAGGGTTCGTGTTTTCCGGTACACCTTGTACAATGATATTTCTTCCGCGAAAATTCTTTTCGCGAGATTCCTAAGGGATGTTCTGGATGAGATTGCGCACAGAATAATGTATGTCGGGCAGTATTCTTACATTCCCAGCTGAGTTCAGTAAATGACTAGCTAGTAGGATATCCTCTACGTCTGTAGCACTGGTGAGTGTTACACGAGGTCACCTCGGGTGACTTTGATGCTTCTTAGACGGTGATGCCCTGGTCTTTTCGAACTTTGGTAACGGGGTCCAATCACCCACAGAGTTTTTCGGAACCACCGTTGCATTCAGGGATCCTGTGTTTGGAGACCCGATTCTGCCAAGGGAGTTTAGTACCGTCGACATTATGATGGTGCTAAGTTTCAGCATATCATCACTAGTTTTATTGCATGTTCCATCGATATTGGCGTTGTTGAGATCCCTCTCCTTGTTTTCACTGTGAGTCTTTTTTTGTTTACCCGTATTAGGATTGCATCCTTTCAGGTTTGCTGGCACCTTATTCCGCAGACCTGTCAAGAGAATGATGATGCTCAGCAGAACTTCAGCATCCGTGTTGCACATGACACATGTCAACCTATGAGCTGACTTACTGAAGCTGTTGTAAACAGTTGCTTTGAGATCTGTGCAAACTTCATGGAACAAACCATTGCAGCTGTCGGACTGCATGCCAGATGTAACAACCAAACGGCATCTAAGTTGTTTTCATGAATTTTTCACGACGATATTGATATTAACTGTTTTATAGACGCTAGCAAAAGTCTTAAACCTTAAATAAGCAGCACACTAAAAACAGGGATAAAGACGGGTGGTACGAATGGTTTAGACAAACTGGTGTCATTGTATGGATAAAAAGTAGTATTTTTTGAACATGAATCATAAATGTTAGGAAAGAGATAAGTTTATTCGACTGTTATGGTGTTTATAATCACATTAAACTCACTCCAGTAGTATTTAAGAGTATGAAAACATAGAT